AAAACCTCCAATGAGCTAAATTCAAAGAGGTGGAAGGGTTGAGAGTTAAACTCAAGAGTTTAAGAGAGGCTGAAGAGTTAAATTCAAGAGTTTTGGAGAGGCTGAAGAGTGAAATTCAAGAGTTTTGGAGAGGTTGAAGAGTTAAATTCAAGAGTTCTAGAGAGGCTGGAGAGTTAAATTCAAGAGGTTAAAAACCTTCAACGAGCTAAATTTAAATAGGCAGAATAGTTGAAAGTTAAACTCAAAGTTTAAGAGAGGTTGTAGAGTTAAATTCAGGAGTTTAAGAGAGGTTGAAGAGTTAAACTCGAGAGTTTAAGAGAGGCTGAAGAGTTAAATTCAAGAGTTTTAGAGAAGATGAAGAGTTAAATTCAAGAGTTTAAGAGAGGTTGAAGAGTTAAATTCAAGAGGTTAAAAACCTCCAATGAGCTGAATTCAAAGAGGTGGAAGGGTTGAGAGTTAAACTCAAGAGTTTAAGAGAGGCTGAAGAGTTAAATTCAAGAGTTTAAGAGAGGCTGAAAAGTTAAATTCAAGTGTTTTAGGGAGGCTGAAGAGTTAAATTCAAGAGGTTAAAAATCTTTAACGAGGTAAATTTAAAGAGGCGGAATGGTTGAGTGTTAAATTCAAGAGTTTAAGAGAGGCTGAAGAGTTAAATTCAGGAGTTTTAGAGAGGTTGAAGAGTTAAATTCAGGAGGTTAAAACCCTTCAACGAGCTAAATTCAAAGAGGTGGAAGGGTTGAGAGTTATATTCAAGGGTTGAAGAGTTAAATTCAAGAGGTTTTTCCAAGCAGGCGGTGGGGACTCAGCACTGAGCGAGGATGGAAGGATTTCCCTGCAATCCATGCCAGGCTCCAGGCTTAGGAATTGCCCTGGGGGTGTTGGCAAGGGCCGGGCACTGGCTGTGGTGGCACTGCCAGCATGGCAGGGGGGTTTTCTGGTTCTCCAACAGGGCTGGAAGAACCAGGGAAATTCCTCTTCCAGGTGGGATATAAACCCCAACAACCAGGGAAATTCCTCTCCCAGGTGGGAAATAAAGCCCAAAAAACCAGGGAAATTCTTCTCCCAGGTGGGAAATAAACCCCAAGAACCAGGGAAATTCCTCTCCCAGTTGGGAAATAAACCCTAACAGCAGTGCAGGGAGCTGGGCCTGGCACAGGGGATGCTGCACCAGGCGGGGGATTGCGGCTGTTCCCGGTGCTTGCTGCTGGCTCAGGCTTCCCTAATTTGCTCCAGGTGAAGCTGTTCTGCATGGAAATGCTCCTGCAGGAGCAGCAAAAGCGCTGAGCCCAGCTGCTGGTGCCGTTTCATAACCATGGGCACCAGCAGACCCCAGGAATTTGGGGGGCTGGCGGGTGGGCAGGGACAAACCACAATGGGAATAAATAGAATTGGGCACCTGGAAAAATTCATGGAGCAGCTCCAGGGTGCAGAAACCCCCTGGCAGGGCAGCCCCTGCCCACGGGCACGCAGCTGTGCCCATGCCAAGCTTTGCCGGGAGCAGGAAAGCGCCTGCTAACGAGGAGGAGATTGGAAAAGGGAAGTTCTTATTTTGCCTCCTGGCTCTAAAGCCTCTGGTTAATGCTCTGGGCTCCCTCCCGGATTTGCTCCGTAAGCTCCAGGGCTGCGAGTTCTCATTCCAGGCTGCGAGTTCTCATTCCAGGCTCGGCTTGGTGAGGCCGGGCTGAGCCTCCCTGCATGGTCTGGAGGGGCTGAGGGCACCTCAGAACTCAGATTTCCACCTGCACAGGCCCCCATGTCCTCACCACCCCATTCCCGGAGCATGGGGGACATTGGGGACACCCACCAGATCCCAAAAGTGGCTCAAATCCCTCCAAACCCCCCCAGGGCAGAGCTGCTGCAGGAATGATTCAATCACCAAACCACGGAGCCCAGAGCAGGTGCTGGGAGAAGATTTGGGATCAATTCGCCGAGACAGAAAGAGGCTGGAGCGGGTCAATAAACGCGATGGGCTGGGCCACGCTGCGGGGAGGGACGCGCGTCACTTCTCAGCGGGGATTTCCATTTTAGCAGCTCCCAGCCCTGTCCCAGAGCCAGCCCGCCCTGGGGAGGCAGCGCTGGGCTCGGTTTGTGCCGCTGGGGCTCCGTTTGTGCCCCCAGAGCTGGGGACAGGCTTGGTTTGTGCCACCAACACAGGGGACCGCTTTGTGCCACCATCACTGGGGCTCGGTTTGTGCCACCAGAGCTGGGGCTCAGTTTGTGTCACCATCACTGGGGACCGGTTTGTGTCACCATCACTGGGGCTCGGTTTGGGCCACCATCACTGGGGCTCGGTTTGTGCCACCATCACTGGGGCTCGGTTTGTGCCACCAGAGCTGGGGACCCGGTTGTGCCACCAGTGTCGGGCTCGGTTTGTGCCACCAGCACTGCGGATGGGGTCGGTTTGTGCCAGCAGCTCTGGGGCTCGGTTTGTGCCACTAGCTATGGGGACCGCTTTGTGTCACTAGCGCTGGGGACTGGTTTGTGCCACTGGGGCTCAGTTTGTGCCACCATCATTGGGGACCGGTTTGTGCCACCAGCACTGGGGCTCCGTTTGTGCCACTGGGGCTCGGTTTGTGCCACCAGCACTGGGGCTCCGTTTGTGCCACTGGGGCTCGGTTTGTGCCACCAGCACTGGGGACCGGTTTGTGCCACCAGCACTGGGGACCGGTTTGTGCCACTGGGGCTCCATTTGTGCCATCAGCATTTGGGACCGGTTTGTGCCACCAGCGCTGCCCCAACTCAGGCTGGGGGCTCCATCCCCTCCCGTGCCGCAAGGGAGGAAGAGGAGAGGGTAACACCTTCCTCCTCTTTTGTTAAAACCCAGCGATTGCGGCACACAAATCATCGCCGACAACTTCAGAGCCGCTGCAACAGCTTCGCAGCTCCCATCTGCTGCGAGAAAGAGAGAGAGAAAAAAAAAAACCCAACAAAAAAAAAACTTGGAAGGAGCCAGAAATGAGCAGCATTACGGGAGAGGCTTCGCAGAACAGATGTCTGCACCTTGCACCCACCGTGGCGTCTTCCCACAGGATTCGGGGGGTCCCTGGCAGGACTCTGCCCTGCAGCTGCCTAAAATTGAGCGAGCGAGTGAACAAAAACCTCCTCAGCAAAGGCTGGAGACGTTTGGCTGCTGCTGCTGCACATCTTGTGGAACAGAGCCCAGAGCCCGGGAGCCGGGGCCAGGCACGCTGGGGTGGCAGGGGAGGGACTGGGGGGGCTCTGAAAATGGGGCCGCTTGTGCCACGTTGTTATTTTTGGGGTAAAAAAGGCTCAGACTGGTGGAGGATGCTCAGGGGTGGATGAGCAGGGGGCACAGCTCTTCCACATCCCATGGGTTGTGTGCCATCCATCCCCACTGCCCGCCCTGCCAGGGGAGGCTCTGCAAATGGGGCCGCTTGTGCCAGGTGGGTTTTTTTGAGGTAAAACAGGCTCAAAGTGGTGGAGGACGCTCAGGGATGGATATCCCAGCTGGGAGATGAGCAGGGCACAGCTCTTCCACATCCCATGGGTCGTGTGCCATCCATGCCCACTGCCCGCCCTGCCAGGGGAGGGACTGGGGCTCTGCACATGGGGCCGCTTGTGCCATGTTGGTGTTTTTGGGGTAAAAAAGGCTCAAACTGGTGGAGGATGCTCGAGGTGAATATCCCAGCTGGGAGATGAGCAGGGCACAGCTCTTTCACATCCCATGGGTGTGTTTGTGCCATCCATCCCCCCTGCCCGCCCTGCCAGGGGCTTTGGCTGCCTTTCCCTGCTGGAAAAGCTTTTCCCAAGGTGGGATTTTCCACGCAGGGATTCTGGCTGTGGGAGCCCGCTCTGGAGGTAGGTGTGGTTTCCAAATGGGCCCCGGGCTGGTGTCCCGGCTCCCTGGGGAGCTCCAGGTGCCCTTTCCTCCAGTGACAAATCCCCGCTGCCAGCTCGATGTGCTAACTTAGGCAAGACCCATTTTCCTGCCTCTTAACGAGCTCCGGCTCCCGCAGCACCCCAGGAGCGGCGCAGCCCCGCGGCACCGCTCCAGGTGAGAGGGAAAGAGGCAAAATTTTGTCCGTGCCCACACCTGGAACACGCCAGGCAAGGAGGGAAACACTGCCTGCCCCACGGCTGTGATGTCCCAGCGTGTCCCCAGCTCCTGGTTTGGGACAATCCCAATATTGGAGCCCCCTCTGTCCCTGCAGCCTCCAGGTGTGTTGGGGCTGCTGTCACAGCCCCCCGAGGCAACAAACGCGAGGGGGTGAAGCTGTTCTGAGCCCTGAGCTGAGCCAGGAGCCGTGGGATGCTCGGATTCAGCCAGGAAAGCTGGGCCAGAGCTCAGGAAAACACCCGGAGCAGGGAAAGGAGCAGGTGCGCTCCTGGGAACATCCCCGTGGCCATGGAGAGGGATTTCCAGGGCTGGGGATCCACGGTGAGCCGGGAATGGGCGCAGCTCTGGGGGTACAGCGGGGACAGGATCCCCGGACACGGCTCTGGGGTGGCACTTGTGCCTTGTCCCAGCAGCGCTACAGGTACGGGACAGCAGAGTGTGACACCGGGAAGGGACTCGGGGCCACCCCGGAGGGTGAGTCCCATCCTTGGGGACGCGCTCAGCTCCTCGCCCGGGACCCTCCGCCAGCGGCCCGGCACCGGCTCCGGGGCAGAACCGGCTCCGGGGCGCCACGGACCCACCCCGGGTGGCGGATCCCGGGACCGTGTTCGGGGCAGAACCGGCTCCGGGGCGCCACGGACCCACCCCGGGTGGCGGATCCCGGGACCGTGTTCGGGGCAGAACTGGCTCCGGGGCGCCACGGACCCACCCCGGGTGGCGGATCCCGGGACCGTGTTCGGGGCAGAACTGGCTCCGGGGCGCCACGGACCCACCCCGGGTGGCGGATCCCGGGACCGGCTCCGGGGGCGCCGGAGAAACTTCCCGGTGGAGCCGGGGGCGCTCTCCGGGTACAGCCGGTGCTCGTTCCCCGCGCAGCCCCGGGTGTTCGCCTCCCCGTGCCCCGCTCCCGGTGCCCGGTACTCACATGAAGACGTGGTAGATGAACGCCCAGCCGCGGGGCCGCTCCAGCACGTTGTACAGGCAGTTCTGCAGGCGGCGGCGGCAGCAGCGCGGGGCCCCGGCGGGGCGGGGGGCGGCCCCGAGCCCCCGGCGGCGGGGAGGGGGCGGCGGCGGCGGCGGCAGGGGGGGGAGGGTCCCGCTGCCCGCCCCGGGGGTCCCCCCCGAGCCCTCGGTCCGCACCGCCGTCAGCGCCGCCCGCCGCTCCCCGCCCGCCGCCGCCGCCCCGGCCATGGCCGCCCCGCTCAGGCCGCCGCCCCTCGCATGGCCCCGGCCGCCGCGGGACCCCCGAGCCAGCCCGGGGCGGCTCTCGGGGCCAGCACCTGCCTTTAGCTGCCCGCCGCCGCCCGCGGGCCCTCCCCCGGCCGGCCGGCCCGCCCCGCCGTACCTGGCCCCCGCCCCCGGGGCTCCGCCGGACGGGGCGGGCGGGGAAAGCGCCGGGGATGGGGCGGGGGTGGGGACGGGACGGTGCTGGGCACGGGGAGGGTCCTGGGGCGTCATCATGGAGCACCGCATCCCGACCCGCATCGCACGGCTCGTCCCAAACTGCGCCCTGCACCGAAACACATCCCAAACCCCATCCCGAACCGAGCCACATCCCGAACCGCATCCCGAACCGAGCCACATCCCAAACCCCATCCCAGCTTCATCCCAAACCCCATCCCGAACCGAGCCACATCCCAAACCCCATCCCAGCTTCATCCCAAACCCCATCCCGAACCGAGTCACATCCCAAACCCCATCCCAGCTTCATCCCAAACCCCATCCCGAACCGAGTCACATCCCAAACCCCATCCCAGCTTCATCCCAAACCCCATCCCAAACCGAGTCGCATCTCAAACCCCATCCCAGTTTCGCCCCGCACCGCATCCCAAGTGGAATCACGTCCCAAAGCACGTCACTGCCTCCTAAACTGCATCCCAAATTGCATCCCGAACTGGATCCCGCAGCACACCCCAAACAGAGGGTGTGGAGCATCCCTGGAGGAGATGGAGCATCCTTGGAGGAGATGAAGCATTCCTACAGGAGATAGAGCATCCCTGGAGTAAATGGAGCATCCCTGGAGGAGATGGAGCATCCCTGGAGGGCATGGAGCATCCCTGGAGGAGATGGAGCATCCCTGCAGGGAATGGAGCATCCCTGGAGGAGATGGAGCATCCCTGGAGGAGATTGAACATCCCACCCCTCCCATCCTCTGCAGACAGCCTCGAGGGGGGCTCCAAGTGTTCCCCAAGTTCAGCCCTTTGCTTTTCCACCTCAACCTCTCCCCAACACAGCGGGAAACTGAGGCAGGGACTGGGAATTCCCTTTCCAAGCTGGATCCCAGCTGGATCCTTGTTCTCCTGCGCCTTTGGGGAACCCAAGTGCCCCCACCCCACCCCTCCATCTCCTCCTGGAGCAGAGCTGGAGTTCAGGGCTTTGGGCAGTGAATTATTTAGTGGCAGCCAGAGATCCTGGCACAGCGCAGGGCCCTCGTGAGCACTGCGGGATTTGGGAGGTCTGGGCAATCACAAACAATAAATAGACAATTTTTTTTACTTGGAGGAAATGGTGCTGTTAAACCCACAATTCCCCCCAAGGATGCCGCAAAAACTCACACACAGATGGTTTAAGAGTGAAATGCTGGAAATCCAAAGGAAATTCTCCCCTCCATCAATCCCTAAATCCTGCATCACCCCAAAAATTGCTTCCCAGAGCATCCCCCCAAAAATTGCTTCCCAGAGCATCCCTAGCTGGTCTGGCCCTGCTCCAGCAGGAGCACCCTGACCTTCATCCCGCTGCCTTTGGAGCAGCACATCCTCCTCGCTGGAGGTTTAGGTTTCACCTGGGATTGATTCAAACCTCGGGGCTGCAGAGGGGACAGGGTTGAGGTGACCTGGAAAGGACTTGGTTGTTCCAGGGCCAGGTGGGAATTGGGTTATTCCTGGAGCTCGGGGTCACCACACGCGGTGGGCAGGTGCCATTCCCACCTTGTCACCTGCACAGAGCCTGGGAATCTCCACGGATCTGGGAGCTGGGAGGTTTTGGGATGGAGCCAGGCAGTCTGAATCAACATGGCACCGACCCATCCCTCAGATGGGTGGAGATTTTGGGAAGCCATCCCAGGATTTGCTGATTTTACCCCACACCTGCCCAGCTTTAGGGGTCCCACAGAGCCACTGGTGTCCCCAGCCCTGAGGAGACTTTAAAGAGCATTCCAGAGGCCGGGAATGGCGAGGGGGAGGCCTCGCTGTGCTTGGAGCCTGCTGCCCTCTCGGGATTGCAGCTCGAGTTCCTGGCACGGAGCAGCAGCCAGGATTTGCATCCACAGGATTTCCAGTAAGTTTTGCAGCCTTGGAATGCAGCTGGCAGGGCTGCGGGGCTGGGGACAGGGGCTGTGGCACCAGGGACAGCCGGGACCCCTAAGCGGGACACGGGGACAGGGACAAAGCCCCAGTTTGGCTCCTTGGGTTGGGGATATGGGGGGGACACCGTGGAGGGGAGGATTTATCCATTGTGAGCAGGGGGGCTGAATGGGATGGGCAGAGTGGGGACAACGGGCTTCGGGGTGGCATTGTCGCGGTGTGGGGAGTGCTGTGACAGGGGTGACAGCGGTGACAACAGCGAGGGTTGTGCAGCGCCTGCTCCAAGCAGAGGCTTGGCCTCATCCCAGGGTAATTAACTCCTGGCACGGCTCGCTGGGACAAAGCAGCGCCTGGGACAGCCCGGGATGGGGAATCCTGAGCAGGGAGCTGGGGCTGCTCTGTCCCAAAGCCACCCTGAGCTGGGACAATTCCAGCGGTGCCACCCAGAGCTCAGGCACGGCCGAGGAGGAACAGGGAGGGGACAGGGCAGGGCTCGGAGGTGAGGAAGGAAGGATGGATGAGGGCTCGCCAGAGCTGGGACAATTCCCGGCCAAACCCCTCAGTTCGTGCCAGGTGATGGAGCAGAGCGGAGAAGAGGCAGAGCCGATCCCCCAGGGAAGGGGACTTTGGTGGCACTGGCTGCAGGTGGTGACTCCAGAACCTCCACCAGGAGCTCCATGCCCTGCTCCAGGGTCCCTCGGGGGTCCTGCACACACAGGACCTCCATGGCAGGGGGGTTTCCTTGGAAAAGGGTGGCCGGAGGGGGCAGATTTGCGGGGGACAGCAGCCATGGAGGGGACAGCAGCCATGGAGGGGACAGCAGCTTTGGGAGGGGGACAGAAGCCCTGGAGGGGACAGCAGCCATGGAGGGGACAGCAGGCCTGGAGGGGACAGCAGCTCTGGAGGGGACAACAGCTTTGGGAAGGGACAGCAGCTCTGGAGGGGGACAGCAGCTTTGGGAGGGGGACAGAAGCCCAGGAGGGGACAGCAGCCCTGTAAGGGACAGCTGTCAGCAGCCAAACCCGCAGCAAACCGAGCGTGGCAGTGCCCGGTGCTGAGCTCATCACCCTGAGGAGAAACGGGATCTCCGTTTGGCAGGGAAGCGCTGCCTCCTCCTCCTCCTCTTCCTCCTCCTCAGCTTCATCCCGGGTCCCTGCGGGTGTCGCACTTGCCCTGCAGAGCTGGCACTCGCTGTGTCACACACAGAAGGGCCGGTGTCCCCTCTGTGGGTGCCATCCCTCTCTGGAAGGACGCGTGTTGGCCTCTGTGTCACCCCAGGGTGCCCCACTTGTCACCGCTGTCCCCTCGGCGGATCAAAGGCAGCCCTGAGTCCTTGCAGGGAAGGTCTGGCTCCTGTCAATGCCCCGGGTTCCAATCCCTGTGACAAACCATGCTGGCTGTCCCCATAGCACCCATCGTGTCCCAGTGTCCTCTGTGAGGGCAGGAAAAGCTTTACCTCTGTTATCACCTAAATAAAAAAATAACTTTTGCCCCATTAAGGTTTATTTCAACATTAAAATCCACATCTTGTATATCCTAATGAGGTTAATTAAATACACACTCTCACCATGTTTATTACTCAGCTCTCTGCCCAGATCTGCGTCCGAGGAGAAAATTCCATTCTGAAACTCTTTCTGTGCCTTCAACAAACCCTATTTTTGTGTATCTGATGGTGAAGGTTTTTATTGACCATGACCACATTTTTCCTGCCCAATTCCACACAATCAGGAATTAAAATAATCATCCCGGCCACCCCCAGCCCCTCTGATCCCTCAGAACTCAACAGGGTTTATTTTTTTATTTCCAGCCGAATTTCATTCACTTCATGCAACAGCTGGAAACTCCCTTGAGGAGCAGCATCTCCCTCCCGTTTTCTGTTCTTTAAGGGATTTATTTGCATTCAAATTTAACCAATTTCCAGCAAACCCAGTAAAGAGCTTTTCCTCAGCAGCCTGAGGGGGCTGATAAAGGCGAGCAGGGCCCGTTCCCCTCTCCAGCTCTGCCTCCCGGCTCTCTCTCTATCCCCACAAAGCGGATTCCCAGCTCTCCAAACCCAAGGGAGGCTTTTCCAGCGGGGTTTGGGGGGGCACAGGAGGTCACTCATCTCCTCTGGTGGTGGGGCAGCCCCCGATGGGTGGGATCAGAGATCCAAAACCCCATCCTGGCTCTTCCATCCCGCTCCTGCCCGGAGCAGAGACAGGGATGCAGATACCGGGAGAAGGGACCTCCGACCCCCAAATCCAGGGAAAGGAACTCCGAGCCCCAGATTCCAGGGAAAGGGACCTCCAAAACCCCACCCTGGCTCTCCCATCCCGCTTCAGCCCGGAGCAGACACAGGGATGCAAATGTTGGGAGAAGGGACCCCCGAGCCCCCAAATCCAGGAAAAGGGATTTCCAAGCTCACAATTTCAGGGAGAGGACCTCAGAGCCCCAGATTCCAGGGAAAGGGACCTCCAAAACCCCATCCTGGCTCTCCCATCCCATTCCAACCCTTCCCGCAGCAGCCTGGAGCAGAGACAGGGATGCAGATACCGGGAGAAGGGACCCCCGAGCCCCCAAATCCAGGGAAAGGGACCTCCAAAACCCCATCCCGGCACTTCTATCCCGTTCCAGCCTGGAGCAGAGACAGGGATGCAGATTACCGGGAGAAAGGATCCTCAAGCCCCCAAATCCAGGAAAAGGGACTTCCGAGATCACAATTTCAGGGAAAGGACCTCCTAGCCTCAAATTCGAGGGAAAGGGACTTCCAAAACTCCATCCCGGCACTCCCATCCCGCTCCTGCCCTTCCCGCGGCAGCCCGGAGCAGACACAGGGATGCAGATACCGGGAGAAGGGACCCCCGAGCCCCCAAATCCAGGGAAAGGGACCTTCAAATCCCATCCCGGCACTTCTATCCCGTTCCAGCCCGGAGCAGAGACAGGGATGCAGATATCGGGAAAAGGGACCTCCGAGCACCCAAATTTCAGGAAAGGGACTTGTGAGCCTCCAATTCCAGGGAAAGGGACTCGCAAGTTCCAAGGAAAGGAGGGACCTCTGAGCGGCCAGTTCCAGGGAAGGCAGCTCCAAGCTCCCATCCCGCCTGTCCCATCCCGCCTGTCCCATCCCCACTGTCCCATCCCCGCTGTCCCATCCCCATTGTCCCATCCCCGCTGTCC